TGGCGGGCGCCAGGGCCCAGTAGCCGCCCTTGCCCGGCTGCCCGCCGGGCCGCGGCACCTTGACGAAGCACTTGCTGAGGCTGAGGTTGTGGCGCACCGAGTTCTGCCAGCCGCGGCGCGCGGCCCGGTAGTAGGGGAAGTGGCGCGTGATGAACTCGTAGATGCCGCTGAGGGGCAGGCGCCGCTCGGGGCTGCTGCGGATGGCCATGACGATCAGCGCGTTGTAGCTGAACGGCGGCTTCCCGGCGCTCGGCTCCGGCTCCCGCAGGAGGCTGGAGATGCTGAAGGGTGACGCCGCCGCGGGGTCCTCGGCGCCCGCCATGGCCCGTGGAGACGTCTCCCCGCCACGCACCCGCCTAAGAGCCCCGGCTCCCGCTCCTCCTGGCCTATCGGGCCCCGAGGGGGGCTCTGGGCGGCCAATAGGGAGGGGGCGATTGGCTTAGCACCGCCCCACCGGCTCCCGTGCCCCCCTTTGGCATCCCCGGTGCCGTGGCCGTGGGCTGGACCGCGCCGTTCACCGTCCAGGCTGGGCTCTGCGCGAGAGCGAGACCCGCACCCGGGCTCACGGTGCCCCTGGGGGTCGCTCTGGATTGGCGCCCATGGGGGGGTTGGTGGCTGGAGGGTGAGGTCGGCCGTGGGTGATGGGGCGGTTGCGGGGTGACAGTGGGGCCAGGCCTCCCGGTGGGGTCAAGTGACACCCCCGTCCTCAGGGAACACCCGACTCTGATTTCCTCCCCTCTCTCCTCCTGCTTCGCTTCCCACCCACGGACCCGGGCGGCCCCCGGGAATCCCCCCGCGCCCCCCGCGTGCCCGGGGATGACTTCTGATGAAGCCGAAGAAGAGGGAAACAAAGCAAGGAAGGAGGAGGATGTCCGTGGGTGAGCGGGATGGGCCCGGAGCATGCAGGTGGAGGGAGATAATCTGAATAGATGCAGAATATTCAAATAAATGTGGATTATTCAAATAAATGCAGACTATTCTAATATCTGCTGGTTTTTCAGATAGACGCGGATTATTCAAATGGGGCAGTTATTCAAACAGAGGCAGTTTTTCCAATAGGGGCGGGTTATGCCACTAGATACAGATTATCCAAATAGATGCGGTTATTCAAATAAATGTCGATAATTCCAATAGAGGCGGGTTATCCAAATGAATTCAGATTATTTGATTAGATGCAGGTTATTCACGTAAATGCAGATTGTTCAAAGTAGATGCAGGTTTTTCAAATAGATGCGATTATTCACATAAATGTGGGTTGTTCAAATAAATGTGAATTATTCAAACAGATGCAGGCTAGTCAAATAGCTGCAGGCTATTGCACGGGATGCCAGCGGCTCAAGCGGGGGCAGCTCCAGGCCGGCGGTCCTGGCGGAGGAGCGGGCCCTCGGCCGGCCAGGGGCTGGACCCGGTGCTCTCGGAGGTCCCGTCCAGCCGCGCGAGGTCCGACTCACGTCCCCGGCTACTGGTGCCGGGCCAGGCGGGGCGAGAGCAGCGAGGAGCGCGCTCGGGGAGAGCTCATCCCTGCTGCCAGAAGTGCCAACCGCAGGCGAGGGCCAGGAGTCTGGACCGGGGCCGCGAGGACGGTCCTGCTCTTGATGTCCACGGGCACCCGAGTCCCAGCCCCGGATTGTGTCCCGGCGGCACGGAGCCGGCACGGCTGGGCTGCTCCCTGCTCGGGAAGCCCTCGAAAATCATCCCCTTCTTGTACGCTCGCACGGGTTGTTTTTTTAGGTGGCGTGATGGAGCCGGGCAGGGTGGGGAAAACCCTCCAAAATCCCCCTGCGGTCGCGGGGGAGCCTGCGGCCTGCTCCCGGCCGCCCCGGGGGCGCCAGCTCTCGCCCGGCGCTGGGATTTGGGCGCAGAACAATCCCGCAGCCATTCTCTGATTGCAAAGAGCTCGGGGGACTCGGTGGGGCAGGAGGTTTGGGAGCCCTGGGTGTCTTCTGGCTCCGCAGCCCCCGGACGGGGCAGGGACGAGGGCAGGCGGGCTTTGCAACGCGGGGCACAAGGTGCGTCCCCTTTGGGGAGAGCCCTGTCTTGGGGAAGGACAACAAGAAACGGGAGGTGAGATCCAAAGGCTGGACGACTTCAGGGTGGACGTGATGAAAAGGCTGGAAAGTGCCGGGGGCGCGGGAGAAGGGAGCGGGTCTGCGGGAAGGAAGGGGAGTCGAGGGCTTCCCGCGGGGTTTGGGGTTTCATACGACACGAAGACAGAGACGGACGGACGGACTCGTTTGACTTCGTTAGACCTGCTTTTCGCATTTTTAGAAGGAAGCCTTTTTTTCTTTTTTTAAACTTGCCTTTAATCTTTACATATGCAGGGCAGAAAGGAAGAACAAAAGAAAGGACGAAAGAATCTTTTTTTCCTTTTTAAAACCTGCTTTTAATATTTATTTATGCAGGACAGAAAGGGAAGGAAGGAAAGAAAATAAGGAACGAAAGACTTTTTTGACATTTTTAAACCTGCTTTTAATATTTTTGGAAGGAAGGCAGGCTGTTGACTTTTTTTTAAACTTGGTATTAATATTTTTTTTAAGAAGGAAACCTTTAATATTTTAGATAGATAGATAGATAGATAGATAGATTCTGTGGACTTTTTCTTAACCTGCTAGTAATATTTTTATGAGAATGAAGGAAGCAAGACTTTTTAAAACCTGTTTTAATCATCTCAGAAGAAAGGAAGGAAAAAAGAAAAGAAAGAAAAAAACCTTTCTTGTTTAAACCTGCTTTTACTATTTTTAGAAGCGAGATAGAAAGAAGGAAGGGAGGGAAGAGACTTGCCTTTTTTAAATGTGCTTCAAAGAAAGAACGAAAAGTCTTGTTTTTTCTTTTTCGAATCCTGCTTTTCATATTTATGTATGCAGGAGAAAGACAGAAAGAAAGTTTTTTGATTTTTAAAACCTGATTTTAATATTTTTAGAAGGAAGGAAGGAGACTCTTAAACCTTCTTGTAACATATTTAAGTTTTATAGGAAAGAGAGAAGGAGAGAAATAATTAAAAAAAAACCCTCTTGCCCTCTTCTTTTAAACCTGCTTCTCCTCTAGTCGTCAGGAAGGCAGAAAGACAGAAGGAAGGAACGAAAAGGAAAGGGACTTTTTGCCTGGTTGAAAACCTCCTTTTGACACTTTGTCGGGAGGACGGAGAGGGAGACTCGTGTCGCTTCTAATGTTGGGACGAGGACTCGGGCCGGCAGGGAGACTTTTTAAGACCTGTTGTTAATATTCCCAGGAGGAAGGAAAAGAAAGGCACTTTTTGGAGGTCTTTAATCCTGCTTTTAATACTTTTAGCGGGCCGGCTGGCAGGGACCGGCGGAGCCCCGCAGCGAGCATCCCGGCGCCTCTGCCGGGCTCTGCCCCGTGGCGGCCGATGCCCCTCGGACCCGCAGGCCCCGCGGCGCTGCCCCCGGGAGCCGACCCCGTGGGGCTGCGAGCCTGGGGCGTTGGGCTCTCGTGGGCCAGGCCTGGCGGAGATGGAGCCGTGGGGGGGGGGTCTGGCCTGGGCACCCGGGCCATGGCGGGGATGACCCGTGGGGGGGGGGTCTGGCCTGGGCACCCCCACCCTGGGTGCCCGCCGGGGTGTGAACAGCTCCCGAAAGCTGAGCCTGGCGCCAGGTGCACAAACACACACGCGGAGCAGCTGTCTCCATGGCTCTGTTTATGGCTCTGTGTGTGCAAACACACACACACACACACACGCAGCCCGGTGTTTCCATGGCTCTGTTTGTGGCTCTCTGGGTGTGCAGACACACACACAAACAGCCCTTGGAAGTAGATGCACCCTCACATTTGCTATCCTGGGTGGGGGGCACAAGAGCAGGGGGTGGGGGTTGTGTGGTGTGGGGGGTTGTGTAGCAGCGGGGTGCTGTGGATGCCCAGCTGGAGTGCGTGTGTGTTGTGCGCTGTGTGTGTAGCACATCGAACGGCATCTGATGTGGGTTCCTGACCTATGGAGCGGGCGGGGGGTTGCCCCCAGTGCGTGTTGTGTGTCCTTGGTGTGGTGTCCAGTGCACATCAAGGAGCGTGTGCTGCAGTGTCTTGTTTCATGCCAAGGGGTCATGTCGTGTGTGCAGCACCTCTGCGTGTGTCGCGCTTTGCGCAGCACGCTCTTATCCTGTCGGGTGTCTTGTGTGTTTTGTGCTTCCAGGGCAATGGGTATAATGTTCCCGTGTGTGTGTGTGTGTGTGATACTTTGTGTATCACGCTGAGAGCCTGTTTTGTGTCTTGTGTTTCAAAGGTGATGGGTATAATGTGTGAGTCGTGGTGCTTTGTGTGTCATGCCCATAGCCCGTTTGTTTCCCAGACAACGGGTACAATGTGCGTGTATGTGGAGTGTGTGTGTGAGTGTGTGTGTGTATCACACCCAGAGCCTGTTTTGTGCATTGCATTTCCTGAGCAATGGGTACCGTGTATGTGCCATTTTGTGTATCATGCCCCTAGCCTTCTTGTTTCTCAGAGGCCACCTACACGCACAGTGTGTGTTATGTGTGTGCACATGTGCTCAATGTGTGTATGTCCCACTTTGTGCATCACATCCATAGCCAGTTTTGTGTGTTGTGCATGTTGTGTCTTGCTTCCTGGACAATGGGTGCAGTGTGTGTGCGTGCGTGCGGTGCTTTGTGTAGCATATCCACAGTTTGTTTTGCGTGTTGTGTTTCCCAGGCAATGGCTATAGTGTGTGCGTGCGTGTGCGTGGTGCTTTGCGCATCACATTCATAGCCCGGTTTGTGTGTTGTGTGTAGTGTTTCCGGGGGGGGGTGCTGCTTTTTGTATCAGGCCCATAGCCTGCATTGTGTGTTGTGTTTCCTAGGAAACGTATAATGTGTGTGCTGCTTTGTCCTGTCCAGAGCCTGTGCTGTGTGTTGCATTTCCTAGGCAATATGTAGTGTGTGTGTGTGTGTGTGTGTGTCTCCCTCCCAGTACCCGTGCTGTCCTGCGCCCCATGGCCGTGTGGTGTGGTGTTGTGTGTCCACCTTCTCCTGACCCGCCGCCGTGCTGACCCCCCCGCTCCGTGCTCCCCCCAGACCTGCCCCCGCGGCCGTCTCCCATTGCCCCAGCTGGGGGGTCCCCGGGCCTGGGGGCTTGGAGCAG